CATGTTGTACCGCCTGTTGTACCCACGTACAGTAAAATCTATCTTAGTGAACACTTGTCTTTAGTAGACACCCTTCCTCCACACATACTGTACTAAATTCTGTTTTCCTCTGCAAAAATGTTAAATATACACAGGTTTTACTGTATTGTCATTGCATATCTACATAGTGTTGTATAAAATTATCGGCTTTGTGTTGCTAGAAATAAGGAGACAATTAACTTGAGGCAGGACTTCTTTCTGTAAAACTTAAAGAATGACTTCGTGGAGGTGAATGTATATGTGCAAAGTTTGTCAGAGTTTTACTCTATAGCTGTCACTATATATGAGAGCGTAGTAGCACAATTTTACACAGAATAACACACATAAAAATGAAAAAATATTGAATTGTAGCTCTGCCTAACATTTGAAATGTAGTGCTTGAAAAACATAAATGCAGAATTGTAGGGTTTAACATTGATATCAATGGAAATGGTTGCTTTTGTCCCAAATGGTTTCAATAACTCAGATGCGAGTAGGTAGTTACCAGTTTCACCCCTAGGTGTCTCGTTCGGGTCAGATAGCATGGTGTGTATAGTAGAAAGTTCCCTTTAACTTAAATTCAATGTTTTAGTGGTTCAATTTTCATATCACCCTTATGTATCTAATAATTACGCAAATTAAAAAATGTCCAGTAAAAGAATATGTTATCTGTTCAATACAAGAAAAGATGTTTCACTTTTTGTGATATTATAACATGGGGTCTATGGGGAGTCTCCCCGAACTAGAAGACACTTTTTCAAAAGTTGATAAACATTTTTCGAAACCATATTACTTGATGTACTTTTACATGTAGATTTCAAATATAACATCACTGACATGGACTGAATTTTGAATATTTAATGACGTAAATCAATATTATTTCTACTCGCATCTAGTCTATTGTAATTATGTCAATGTTGTAAGATTGCAGCATATGGTCAGTTGCTATAAACTGGCTGTTTAAACAGGTCTATCCAGAATAACTTTCCTCATAATTACTTGATTAATTTTCTGATATATATGCAGTTGTATCTGATTAGTCATTAATCTTGATGTGAACATAGATTTTTTAATTTTTCTGTGTACTAAATAACGTTAGTATGAATTTTATCATCCCAATCATCATTATTCTTCATCATCATCCCAATCATCACTGATGCATCCCTAAAATGTGTAGATAAGTATGTATCAGCAAACAAATTGTGTATGAAAATATAGACAATGTAAGATCATGTAGATAACCCCTGGTAATGAGTTAAAAACTAGGCATTTTGTCAGAAGATGGAACTTTTGTTAAATTAAAATCCCTGTGTGAATCACAAAGATTTTCTTAAAGACAATAGGCACTCAAGAATTGAACAGAAGGCTGGCATCCTCGCATTCTTTCTTTCTTGAAATATGTGTAGAAAATTCCTTTGCCCCCAGGGCAACACTTTCGGTGAACAATATGAACGTCTTCAAGAGCTATTCACAAAATAAAAAACACAAACTGTTAGCTTTATATGAATGGAGAGTGCCTCGGGTGAAGATCCTTAGGAAATATTTTGGCAGCTCAAGACTTGAGATTCATTGAGATGAAGGAGTATGACAGGCATCAGTAATCATCATTAAATTGCCATTGAAATATTAATAACCGTAATTAGTCTAAAGAGATACTGAATGATTTGAAACTCTATACACTCATGTTGAATGCATTAGAAAAGAGAAACTGGACATTTAATAACTGACCCACCCCCAACCTGCGTCTAATTTCAGATTTGATCTCATAAATGGTTTAATGGATATTTAACTTTACAGGTATTGAACTCTATAGGGAATAAAAATACAATTCAATAAGCAGTAAACAACCGATTTCAATTATTTTATTAATGTTCAAAATTAATTATAAAATCTGTCTCTCTAGCCACAAAGAAATTAAAAGGAGAAAGTAGTAATTTTGATCGTTCTATTAGAGTCAGAAAAATACCAGTTAGGCGCAATGGTACATGATACTCTATATATCTAGTAGCATGGTATACTTGTTTAGTATTAGATGTACATTATGTTTGATTTTTATCATTTGAAATTCTTGACCAATCATATTCAGAGCATCAAATAATGTTCATTATCATTTTGTTGTCACGCTTGTAAATACATATTATTAATAGGATTTTATTCGTACTGATGCCCTTTTAGGGCCAAACGTACATCCGATATACAATTTTCAATAACAGTAAATATCTATATAAGAAATAGTACGGGAATTCACTTTTACTCAAAAATAACAAAATAGATCACAAAACCTTGGAATGAAAAGATGCTCACAAAATATAAAGCTCCCATCTTCCATTTTATACAACTTATATAGCTTTTAACAAACAAGATCACAAAACCTTGGAATGAAAAGATGCTAACAAAATATAAAGCTACCATCTTCCACTTTATACAACTTATATAGATATAACAAAATAGAGGAGGGGGGCTATCTCACCCTTTAAAATGAGGGTTTCATATGTACTGTAAATCAATGGGATAAGTCTTACACCTCAATTTAGAAAGGAAATAACTTATATGGGTAAATACGAGTTGGAGTATTTTGCCAACTCTCTTAATGGTAAAGAACTAAAGGAAATCCCTTGAACAAAATTATCAATTTTAAACACAGAAAAATGATGAGGGTGACATTATCAACAAGGGTACTGACGGTTCCTGTTATTAGGCCCTCAGGGTCTAAACGCTATCAAAGCAGTAATCGATTGTGACTCTATTTCAAATAAAAGTTCTTCAAAGTAAATATGCTAGAAATTCTTCTATATTTTTATTTTTAATTGTTGTTGACATTAACATCAAAAATCAATAAAGTCTTTTGTGTGTGATGGGTTCTGGGTTGGCTTTTCAGTATTATCTATTCTAGGTCTTATATGTTTTGTATTTACTCTTCATACACAGTGCAATTACGGAGAACATCTAGTCCAATAAAAGTACTGAGCATCAATTGTCCTGAGATCTGAAAATGTATAATAATATGAAGGTTCTTGGATTGAAAATGGCATTGGTTTCTGTTACATTGATATATTAAAAGTGCTTTACCCACTGTATTTTCAACTGTATATTCTACAACTACAATTCATTGATAAAATTCTTGTGCATTCTCCACTACATCTGTAACTGTATTCTGCATTGCATCTCAAACCACATTCTCCACTGCATCTACTACTGCATTCTCCTTGCATCTACTACTGCATTCTCCTTGCATCTTGTACTGCATTGTTCACTGCATCTACTTCTGCATTCTCCTTGCATCTTCTACTGCATTCTCCTTGCATCTTCTACTGCATTGTTCACTGCATCTACTACTGCATTCTCCTTGCATCTTCTACTGCATTTGTTCATCTTCTACTACTGCATTCTCCATTGCATCTACTACTGCATTCTCTTTGCATCTTCTACTGCATTATCCACTGAATCTTATACTGCATTCTCCTTGCATCTTCTACTGCATTCTCCACTGAATCTTCTTCTGCATTGTCCTTGGATCTTCTACCACATTCTCCTTGCATCTTCTACCCCATTCTCCTTGCATCATCTGCTGCATTCTCCTTGCATCTACTGCTGCATTCTCCTTGCATCTTCTGCTGCATTCTGCCTGCATCTTCTATTGCATTCTCCTTGCATCTTCTACTGCATTCTCTTTGCATCTTCTACTACATTTTCCTTGCATATTCTACCACATTTTCTTTGCATCTTCTGCTGCATTCTCTTTGCATCTTCTACCACATTCTCCTTGCATCTTCTACTGCATTTTCCTTGCATCTTCTACTGCATTTTCCTTGCATCTTCTACCACATTTTCCTTGCATCATCTGCTGCATTCTCTTTGCATTGTCTACCACACTCTCGTTGCATCTTCTACTACATTCTCCTTGCATTTTCTGCTGCATTCTGCCTGCATCTTCTACTGCATTTCCTTGCATCTTCTACTGCATTCTCCTCTGCATTCTGTGAGCCTCCCAAATATTGTACATATGCAAACATATATGACATAATTAAGATATAGTTCAGAACTGAGCAGATTCTCTATCTGATCCTGGCCTAGTTTATTTATATGAAAATAATAGGTCCATAAATTTGACAAGCTGCTAAAGAAAAATAGATGTGTAGGTTGATAGTCAGATCATGTAACCATATGGAGATGTTTAAGATAACATTATTTTATCATCTGTGCACATTCATAAAGCTAACTGTATGCTTCATACTGTAAATTCAGTCATACATTATTTACCTCTTTTTTTATTAGTATAGTATTTTTTCTTTATTTTAATTTACTTGTTGAATTATATTGTGCTGAAGCTATGTTGATAAAGGTCATCTGGATAATTATGTAAAAATTCATAAAGGAAAATACAAAACAAATATTCACTACAATTTGTTGATTTGTCTTTCTAGCTGTATGGTTGTGTAGGATTCCACTATAGGACTATCAGATATCTTGTGTTTTTTTGCGCAGTTGTGATTTATATTGAATTTTGGGTAAAGTTTCGTTGAATTGAAGATGGTTCATTGATCTGTACTAGTGTCTTTTGTTCTTTGTCCTGCTAGATAACAAATCTGATGGTGCAGGATCGATTGTGGCTCAGTCCTCTGACATGAGAAGATGATGTTTCACGAGGAAAACACAATGTCTCTCATGTACCTGCCCTTGCTATTATTGTCTTGTGATATAGACTGTCTTTGGAGCTCAAACAACCCCTTACTCATATGATAACACTTACAGAGAATATATCATCATGTAGAAAGTTATTAAATCAATTTTAAGTTTCTCAATATACATGTACTTACAAATAAGAAAAACCAGTTATACGTATTGTCACATGTATAAAGTAAGGTTGTTGGCCTTACTCATTGTATCCCTTGATTTTATGTAAAAATATATTAAAACAAACTACATGTAAATAAAATGGAATAACAATCAAGATTTTTATGTTTGATATTCTGTGCTTGCAGAGAAATGGCAGATTGAAAGTGAGAGGATGGATTTAAGTGCCAGATTTCCCATTCATCTCTGGACTGATGCCTACAACTATTTCCATCAATCGGGAACACCCTAATAATATGGCTGCAAAGACATAGAAAATACTCTCCCTTTGCTAGAGTATATCGCTGTTCTACCATTTGCATTCTTTTGACCCGATAGTGCTAGACTCTGTGCTTTGGTACCGCCATCTCCTTGAGTTCACCTAGGGATGCTGCTCTACCAAGTATCCCCCCTCCCCATTTCTCAAAATTTTTACTATACCCGAGAGGGGAATACACCGAGAGTTCTTTGGATTAACCCATTTAAATCAGTATGAAAGAATAGTCAAAATCTTAGTATAAGAAATACATGGATCAGCTTAGATATTTAGTGATCGGAAATAACATTTAGGAATTAAACATACGCCACGTTGACAATAGATACATTTGTGAAACATTAATGGAAGATATATTTTGTACTTACCATCACAAAGAATTGATAAATAATATATAGTATGCTTTTAGCTGACTCTCTTTAAGTGAAGCTTTAGAGCACCGGACAAATACCTATGAGATGCTTTAAAATATTGATCAATCACTTAATGGTCTCATCCGAGGACAGAGGAAGGAGTGACGCTTCAGAAAGGAATTAAATGCTGCAGATGATTATGAAAATAACAATACATCAACAGGATGTAAACAGGCTTGTTCCTGAGTGTTTAGATATTGACGGGGGCATACCTGCCTGATTTATGTATTTCCTATCATCACCAGGCAGAGAGGACTCATGATGAAAATATTTCAATCATTATTACTACAAGTATCATTATTTGACCCATTCTGGCAGAAAGGCTTAAAGGCAGAATCGGATCTATAAGGGTGACAAAATTGCAAGTTGTGGGAATAATTGACCTAGTAATTTATCCCTTACAAGCTCAAATATAATATCTCCCAAAAAATCTGTGATATGTTATCAATTGGTGAAGTTAATTAAGATTCAAAGTACAAAAATTGTGGGCAATTTTTAAATTCTCCCAAATAATAAAAACGGTAACCATATTTATAAACAACTGAATGCATTATTGTAAAAAATTCCTGAAATAAAGTTTACACTTTATTTGGACATTTTTAGAAAATAGTCAAGGAATGATATGAGCCCAAAATATTCTTGAATTGAAACAATTTTCATTACTACGACGATGATTCTTAGTATGGATCATTACTAGATCTTATTCTGCCTTTAATATATGATACATATATGTACTATAGTGTCATTGTCTCGTACTGATGGGCAGGCAGGTGGAAGGGCTCCACAAAAATCTTGTTCTTAAGCTTGTGAGAGGTTGTGTATTCCAAGAGTAGTACAGGCTGTGGATCACACAATGACTCATATAAGAATCAAGTCAAAAACGTTCATGAAACATATCCATAGAATGTTTTTTATCTTTTATACAAGCTCATGTTCGACAAACTCTTTCCAATAATTTGACTTTGCTTCTTTAAAAGTGAGCTTCATCTTCATCCTTTTGTAGTCGACTCCGACACTCTGGGTATATTTTGACCTTGAAATGTTTGTCTCTATTAATTCAGACATTAAGTCCAAATGAACTGGCAACCCCTTGTAATATCATATTTTAGTACTGCATTTTGCATTATTTATGAGAAAATTATCTACAATCCTGCTGACATTCCATCATAACTTGAACATAAATCTTGTCTAATATAAGGCAATGGTTTATTCTAGAAGAGTGTAATCATCCTGTATGTAAAGTTTTACCTTATATTCATGAATACAACTGTCAGAAAGTGAATACCTCTATCTAGTAATAATAGACATCTCAAGTGTTTGCCTTTTCCCAAGTGAACACTTTTTCTTAGATAGAAATTAATCAAATTCTCACCTGGCTTATATCACAGTTGAGGGTTGCATGACCTAATGAACTGAAGACTGAGTTCTAGATATTATTTTAGGAATATTGTTTGATTTTCCAACAATATTCATTAGGACTTTTCAATGCTTTTTATTATCTCTGGAAATGGGTCACCAACAAAAAGATGTGACATATTGTTACAGCCTGTTTTTATGACTTGTTTACAGTGTTACACTCTTGATATTGTAACCAGATAGTTACATTTTGTGACATTGATGCCTGGTCTATGTAATATATAAGAAAGGTATTGTATATCAGTATATAGTATAACAATTTTTTCTAACATATCCAAAGATCTATGTTAAAGACTGTGATATTTTACTTGTTTTGTTTTGCATATTGTTCTATATGTTGATGTAACATTTATGTATGTTAGTTTGTATATTATCCTGTACAGTATTTGTATACATTAAGACTGAATATGAGGTTGAAACTGGTTTCTCGAGTAATATTTGCTATACCATGAATTTTTAAGTTCCAAAATTGTAGTCCGCAATTCCTTGTGCCCTGAGAGACTACAAAATCTCAAATATGTACATTTGAATATTGCAGTTTAGTCTCAAGTGACAGGAAATGACTAGGATTATTTGTCAATCCTCTACATATATGGGCATTTTAACAGGCTTTGCAGTGGACTGACAATAAAATGAATTTTGATCTGATTTCTAGAATAAAGTAACTCTGCTCTTTCAACCATTTGTTGAATTTTACAGATGAGTTTGTCTGTAATTATGATATATGTTTACTTAATTCAAATGTATACATTAAGTAGTATGTAATTCTTTTTTCTATGAAATTACATATGAAATGTCATTTCTTTATTATGTTCACGCATGTGTAATTAGTTTCATATGTGATAACTAAATTGTTTTAAAATGGAAATTGTTCAATAAATAAGTCAATCGATTCAATTGTCATGTTTGTCATTTCTGTTTTTATGTGTGGAAATTGAAATAAATATATGATTTAAATGTATATGAATTGAAAATAATAAATGTTTAATGAAACTAAAGTATTTTTTCTTTATTTAAGGTCAATCCATTTAAATATACAATTTGTAGACTGCCAAAGTTAAAAACATAGGCGACAGTTTATTTAGAAAATATATACAATAAAACTAGTTTTCATTTCTACTTTTCGTAAATACAATGAAGGGAGACCTAATCCCCAGAAGACCATTATTCTACATGTTCACATCCACGTTCTCCTAAAAAGGTGTTTGGCTTAAACTCTCTATTACATCGTGTCCTGGGTACTTTTGAACAAAATATGGATATAGCTTTCTGAGCTTTCCATCTCTCAAAACTGATGTTCATTTAGTTACATTTTTTAGTTAGTTTAATTTTCATTGTTCAGTTTGTTGGTGAATGGTTTTCTTTATTCTCTTACACCAACAGTTCATATATTTATTCATAATTCAATATGTCAAAAACATGATATGGAATCTCTTGTGACAAAATATTGCGTGAAGAACATAACATTAAATCAAGATAATACAGGATGACACCAAAAAATACCCACAAAAAGGAATGAATGACATTTATAGTACATCTTGTAACACTAATAAAGATATATCTTGAGCCAGTCATCTGAGACTTCTCGCTCCAGAAGTCAATTCATGCAGCATTATGCGGGTGTCATTTTTGTGTGACCCTGACACTGTATAGATTTTTGTCAGAAATATGATCTAACATTCCCATAGGTGACAAACCATACTATATCAAGTCTCAGAAACCTTGGAATTTAGAATAACAAACTCTTTTGTTATGCTTTATTTTTCCATTATTCCTCTAGTTTATTAGAGAAATAATCAAATCAGATAGTGGCCTTGGGTGGGTAACTGATTATATAATGCAGTGCAGTTGCCCAGCTATGTGTGAAAATATAGTATAGTAGCTGGTTGTACATAATGATCTCTTGTAATGTTCAAAAGAACTTATCATATTTGTAACATATGTTCCAGTTTTCAATAACTCCTTAAAAAGATGAAAACATGTGCTTACTTAAATAAGTAAGTCATGATCAAATCAAATATTCTTTACTAAAGAAAATGGAATTTCATTGCCTGATAGTTTCATTGTAAAATTTAAAAGTACATGTGTACGTACATGACTGTATAATTGGAAAAAGTCAAACACATGTGGAATGAATACATACCACCACTGTTCCACTGTATAAAGTACTAAGAAATTGAAATGATAAGATGAAGAGTGCGAAGACACTGTTCAAGAGTCAGTAACAAAATGACTAAAACATTCCATATTTATTTTACCCTTCAATTCCAAATAAGACTTTAGTTTGAAAGCCCCAGTTTTCCTGATTTCTACCTTTTCAAGAATTTTATTTGGCATCCCTGAAAGAGAGCTTCATCTATATGTTTACCCAGTGATCACTCCTTAGTCTTGCTACAAAACCCCCTAACAGTGAACACTACAATTGTTGTTGAAGTAGATGGGGGGGAGGTCCAGGGTAATAGCCCATTGGCTTCAGGGTACCTGACACTGGTGGATCCAGAATCTAACAAGGGGAGGGGCACATTTCAGTTTAGGAATAAATCGTTCAAAAACAAAAAAGAGGGCCCACCTTTTGAAAATTAACACCCATTTTTTTTAATTTGACCTAAAATAGGCCCAAAAAGGCCAAGTTTTGCCCAAAAAGGCCCATTGCACTTTGGGCACCTCCCCTAAATCCGCCAGTGCCTGATATCTTGGGCCCACTGGGTCTGGCCAAAAGTGTTCAGTTTGCCAGATGTTCACATTTTCAGGTTTATAGAATGGAAATCAATGGTAAGTGAAAAAAAGTTGGTACTGACAAAAGTGTTCAAATTGAGAGGTGTTCAGGTTAGAGAGGTGTTTGGATACACACGTTTTTTATGTATAGATCGTGGGGATACTGATAGAATTTCAACCCCTCATTCTTAACAAGACAGATAGTGTCTGGGTATCAAAATGGCGTACAGGGTTTTTCATTATTTGCACCCACCCCCTCATGTCCCTCAAACTCAGATATGCAGATGTCTCAGACATAAGTCTTTGTTTGAGATACCTTGCACTACAGTGTAACTTGTTTTGATCATAACAATGATGTATAAAACATATGTCTTGGGCATCTTTGAGGGTGTGCAAATATATGAACCACCCTGTATGCATTGATTTCTACCAGAAGTCATTTATAACGTGATCATAACAGTCTGACTGGTGCAATTGATTTTGCTTGTATTTTGTTGGTAATGTTCCCCTATGGTGAACCGGTATGAGAGGAAATAAAACATATGTTAGCTAGTCAGCGTAGTAGGCTGCTGTTGAAAGGATGTTGACAAAATGCTGGGATCTTGTAGTATGTGTGCGTGTGTGGTTAGGGAGGGCTTGATAAGTATTTTGGATCTAGGAGAGGGCCCGGGGGAGAGGGTGTGATTTTTGATTTTGTATTAAGATCTAGAGTATTAACATTTTTTGTTGTACATTTTTAGAGCACATCTTGCTCGAATTAGTAAGATATACTGGTATAAATATTTTTATATGATTTTACCAGTTTGTAAACTCAGTATCAGTGCTATGTAGAGGGCTTCTTTGGAGAGGGCTTCATCGTGGTTATAATGGATCTAGAGAGGGCCGTCACATATGTCAAGGGAACTTATGGGGTAATCTTGTTTGAACCCCTTGGAAACGGCCCTGAAGTTCTGAACCCCTCAGGAACATCTATATCCAACGTGTCATGAGGTTGAAACAACTGCAATTTTGTAAATGCTGAAGTGAGCAATTTTGGGAATCGTCGGCAAATTTACCCACCGCTTTACAAAAACTTTTCACGGGTTTTGTATATTTCATACGTACGTGTTAATTTCCGAATATTAATATAGGGAAATAATTCAGCCTCAATCTAAAATGAATTGACCAAATATTCATGCTTTCTTGAGACCTTATTAATTTGACATTATGATAGA